GTGTCTAATTTATAAATTGACCTTTATCTTAGGTATATATGTATAAGAAAATCATATATATATATAGTTCAAAATTGTGTATGTAGTGTTCAGTACTATCCACAGCTTCAGGCATGCCCTGGGGGTCTTGGAAGGTGTCTGTCATGGCTGAGGGGGGCTATTATACTTTCTCCCAGTCTGCAATGCAGCCTTTTAGTCTCTTAACTGTGCTTTTGCAGAACAAAAGCTGTTAAAATGATAAAATCCACTTTTTTCATGGATTGCATGTTTGGTGCTGTATGTAAAAAGTATTTGCTAAACCTAAGGTAGTCTTAGGATTTCTCCTGTGTTATCTTCCGGAAGCTTTATAGTTTTGTACTTACTTTTTGACTTCATTTCTGTGGGAGGTGTGAAGTCTGTGTCTACATGTGATTTTTTTTTCACACAGATGTCCAGTGGCACCATTTGTTGACAAGTTGCCCTCTCTACACTGGCTTTCCTGTGCCCCTTTGTAGGCCAATTAGTCTGTTCTAGAGACATAGTTGTCTAATCTCTTGCCAATACCACGTTGTCTTTATTACTGTGGCTTTATATAATGACTTAAAATCGATTAGCATCAGTCCCCTATATTAGTTATTTTTCAACATTATGTTTGCTGTCTTGGGTCTTTTATGGTTCCATATACAGAGTTTGCTATTATCACAAAATAACTTTCTGTGATTTTGATTGAGATTGCATTGGAATCTATCGAGTACGGTGGGAAAAACTGACATCTTAGCTATAATATCATCCTAGCCATGAACATGGACTATCTCTTCATTTAGTCATAACTTTGTTTCCTTTTATCAGAGCTTTGTTGTGTTCCTCATATAAATTTTCTACATTTAAAAAATTTTGTATCCAAAAATTCCAAAGTGGGTCTTTTGGAGTTAATATAAATGATACTATGTTTACAATTTAAAATTTTGATTGTTCACTACTGGCTTATAACTAAGTAATTGATGTTAGTATGTTAACCTTATAACCTATAAGCTTGTCATAACCACTTACGAGTTTCAAGAGTTTTTGTTTGTTTGTTTGTTTGTTTTTGTTTTTTTGACAGGTAAAGTTACAGACAGTAAGAGGGAGAGACAGAGAGAAAGGTCTTCCTTCCGTTAGTTCACCCCCCAAATGGCTGCTACGGCCAGAGCTACGCAGATCCGAAGCCAGGAGCCAGGTGCCTCCTCCAGGTTTCCCAGCACAGGTGCAGGCTCCCAAGCACTTGGGCCATCCTCCACTGCCTTCCCAGGCCACAGCAGAGAGCTGGAGTGGAAGAGGAGCAACCAGGACTGGAACCCAGGGCCCATATGGGATTCCAGCGCCGCAGGCGGAGGATTAATCAAGTGAGCCACGGTGTCAGCCCTCAAGAGTTTTTTTTTAAATCACTTATTTGGGATTTTCTGCATTAACAAACATGTCATCTGCAAACAAAGAAAGTTTAATTTCCTCTTTCCCAGTCAGTTGATTAGTTGTATGTGTACATTGCAAGCTCTAGGAAAACCACTGAAAATGAATCTTTAGTCCACTTTTTCTATTTTCTTCTTGACTAGTGCAGGTACTTTATAACAATACACTCCAAGCTTCTCTTAAAATGTGACTGTTGGCCGGCGCCGTGGCTCACTTGGTTAATCTTCCACCTGCAGCGCCAGCTTCCCATATGGGCACTGGGTTCTAGTCCTGGTTGCTCGGCTTCCAGTCCAGCTCTCTGCTGTGGCCCGGGAGGGAAGTGGAGGATGGCCCAACCACGTGGGAGACCAGGAGGAGGCACCTGGCTCCTGGCTTTGGATCGGCGCAGTGCGCCGGCCGTAGCAGCCATCTGGGGGGTGAACTGATGGAAGGAAGACCTTTCTCTCTGTCTCTCTCTCTCACTGTCTAACTCTGTCAAATAAAAAAAAGACTGTCATTTATCTCACTTATCCATATACTATAATCACCTGACAGATTGTTGCTATTATTTCTTTGAACAGTTATCTATTAAATTCACTAAGAATAAGAACTTTTTGGCCAGTGTCGCGGCTCAGTAGGCTAATCCTCCACCTGCAGCGCCGGCACCCTGGGTTCTAGTACTGGTCGGGGCACCAGATTCTGTTCCAGTTGTTCCTCTTCCAGTCCAGCTCTCTGCTGTGGCCAGGGAGTGCAGTGGAGGATGGCCCAAGTGCTTGGGCCCTGCACCCCATGGGAGACCAGGAGAAGCACCTGGCTCCTGGCTTCAGAGCAGCGCACCAGCTGTAGTGGCCATTTGAGGAGTGAACCAACGCAAGGAAGACTTTTCTCTCTGTCTCTCTCTTTCACTAACTCTGCCTGCCAAAAAAATAAAAATAAAAATAAAATAAAAAATAAAAGAACAAGAGCTTTTTAAGAAAAAGAATTTGTTTTACCTTTATTTATTCTTTCTTTATATACATCAAGTGTTTGACTTGGATCATTTTTTTTTTCTCTGAAGAACTTCTTTTAACATTTCTGGCAGGGAAGGCCTCACAGCAACAAATTCCTTGAGTTTTCATTGGCCTGGGAGGAGTCTGTTCTCCTTCACTTTTGAGCAATAGTTTTGTTGGATGGAGCATTCTAGGTTAGTATTGCTGCAGAATTTATTCTGTGAACACTTTAAACATTTCCCTGTACTTTCTAGCATTTTTCCCAATGGGAACTCTCATATCATTCTTGCTTGTGTTCTTCAGTAGATAAAATGTTTTTTTTTTTCCCTTGCAGGTTTCTTTCAAGGTTTTCTCTTAACTTTTGTTTTTCTGTTAAATATATTATGCCTGGGTGTAGTTTTGTTTTGTTTTGCTTTTGCTGTGCATCCTGGTTGGTGTTCTCTGAGGGTCTGTGGGTTTGAGTTTGTATTAATTTTGAAAAATTCTCAGCCATTATTACTTTAAATACTTCTTCTATTCCTTTATCTTTCTTCTCTTTGTGGCATCCTCATTTATTTCATATGGCAACTTTTGTAATTGCTACAAGGATTTTTTTTAAAATTAGTTTTTCTCTTTACATTTTAGTTGGGAAGTTCTATTAATATTTCTCCAAGGGTGGATTCTTTCCTCTCTGTGCCCAGTACTAATGAGCCCATCAAAGGCATTCTTTATTTTTGTTACATTAATTTTGGTTTATGGCACTTAATATTATTTTCATTTTAAAAAATATCTATTTATTTCATTTGAAAGACAGAGCAACAGAAAGAGAGAGAGAGAGAGAGAGAGAGAGAGAGAGAGATCTTCCATGAGGGATTGGGAAACTTTATTCTGCCAAAGGCCATTTGGATCTTTTTAACCTGATTTGCAGGCCACACAAAATTATCGATTTAAAAAAATAGCCTGCTATAGATTTATTCTGATTTGAGTCCTGTTTGCAGTTGCCTTTACAGGGACAAAGCAAATGATTTCGTGGACCTTCTATGGTCCACAGCCAGATGTTCCCCACCTGTTTCATCTGCTGGTTCATTCCCCAAATATCTACAACAGCCAGGGCTGGGCACGCAGAAGCCAGGAGTCAGAAACTCCATCCAAATCTCCAATGTGGGCAGCAGGGACCCAAGTAATTGGGCCATCTCCTGCTGTGTTTCCAGACATGTTAGCAGGGAGCTGGCTTGGAAGGTAAGCAACTGAGACTTGAACTGGCCCTCCAGTATGGGATGTGAGCATTGAAGGCAGCAACTTAACCCAGGCACCATAATGCAAGCTTTTTAAAAAAATTTTTTTAAAAGGCTGGCGCCACAGCTCAATAGGCTAATCCTCCACCTTGCGGCGCTGGTACACCGGGTTCTAGTCCCGGTCGGGGCACCAGATTCTGTCCCGGTTGCCCCTCTTCCAGGCCAGCTCTGTGCTGTGGCCAGGGAGTGCAGTGGAGGATGGCCCAAGTGCTTGGGCCCTGCACCCGCATGGGAGACCAGGAGAAGCACCTGGCTCCTGCCTTTGGATCAGCGCGGTGCGCCAGCCGCAGTGCGCCAGCTGCGGTGGCCATTGGAGGGTGAACCAACGGCAAAGGAAGACCTTTCTCTCTGTCTCTCTCACTGTCCATTCTGCCTGTCAAAAAAAATTTTTTTTAAAGATTTATTTATTTATGTAGAAGGCAGAGTTATAAAGAGGCAGAGAGAGAGAGAGAGAGAGAGAGAGAGAATGAATCTTCCACCCACTGGTTCACTCCCCAAATGGCTACAACAGCTGGAGCTGGGTCAGTCTGAAGCCAGGAGCCAGGAGCTTCTTCCCAGTTTCCCATGTAGGTGCAGGGGCCCAAGGACTTAGGCCGTCTTCTGCTGCTTTCCCAGGCCCATTAGCAGGGAGCTAGATAGGAAGTGGAGCAGCCAGGACTTAAACCTGTGCCCACTTGGGATGCCGGCACTGTAAGTGGAGTGCCACTTACAGTGCCAGCTCCCAGATTAGTTATTTCTATCACACTTAACAAGTGACTTTTTCTTAAAGATATGTATCTACTTAGGAGGTTATTTTGGCTTTATTTCCAGTTGGATCCTGTAGGATGGTCTTCTCATTTCTTTTTCCATGCAGTTGATCACTGTGGCAGAGGAGGCATGTGGCATCAGCCTCAAATCCAGCAGCATGTACATATCTCCATGGTGATAGGTTTCTATGGAATGCCTTGGAATCTACCTCCCCCCCCCCCCCCAAGAAGACAATTCTCTCTCCATATTATTCTGCCTGGGGTCGAGGGAGGCAAGGTGTGAGCAGTGTTGGGTTATCTACACCACAAAGCTAGATTACAACCAAAGCCCACAGCTTTCTAAGTCCAGCAGAGCATGAGATAGGGCCAAAGCCAATTTGCTGGGGACTGTCTGCTGCTGAGCTGGGCTTGCAGCCTGAGACTGCCTGTAGCCAGTCACAGGTGATGCTGGCCAGGATCTGAGTCCAACTGACTGGGCTTTTTTTTTTTTTTTCCTTAAAGAGTTTCCATAACCCTTTTTTTCTTCCTGTTGTTTATTCTTTCCATTAGAGCCCATGGTATATTAATTATAGTGATCTTTTTTTATTTTTGACAGGCAGAGTGGACAGTGAGAGAGAGAGAGAGACAGAGAGAAAGGTCTTCCTTTTTGCTGTTGGTTCATCCTCCAATGGCCGCCGCGGCCGGCGCGCGCTGCAGCCGGCGCACCACGCTGATCTGAAGCCAGGAGCCAGGTGCTCTTCCTGGTCTCCCATGGGGTGCAGGGCCCAAGCACTTGGGCCATCCTCCACTGCACTCCCTGGCCACAGCAGAGAGCTGGCCTGGAAGAGGGGCAACCGGGACAGAATCTGGTGCCCCGACTGGGACTAGAACCTGGTGTGCTGGCGCCGCAAGGCGGAGGATTAGCCTGTTGAGCCACAGCGCCGGCCCAGTCATAGTGATCTTAAACTCTCTGATACTTCTGAAAGCTATGTTATATCTTAGTCCAGTTGTGATGCTTGCTCTTTTGCTTGATTGCTTTTTTTCTTGCCTTTTAGCATGTCTTTTCTAGCCTTTTAGCCAGGCACAATGAATGAGATAACAGCAATGGACAAGTGAGTAGAGTTTTGATATGTCAATCTGGCTAGCATCTGCCATGTTCTTACCGTTTGCTGTTACTGTAGCTGCCAGAGGTTTCGGTTTCTTGTTTTGCTTATCTCCCTGTTGTGCCTGGGTTTCCCTAGGGACTCCTTCATAATTAGAATCAGTCTGGCTGGTCTGTTAAGGTAATCCACTGTTATTTATGGATATCTTTAAGGTGTATGGATTAAGTCTCAGTATTTTTAGTGGGCCCAAGTTCCTGAGTTGTGAACTTCAGAAGCATTTCTTAGCTTTTAAAACAAAGCAAAGTAAAGCAAAGCAAAACAAACAAACAAGAAAAAAACCCACCCCTTTTATATGATACAGAAACTAGAAGGGCTGGAGCTGAGGTGTGGCTCGCCCCCCAGGTCAGATAAGGTTCTGGTAAAGCAGTTTCCATTGGAGGGCAGACTTTTGTCTTGGAGAATGTTGTGGGTATATTTTATTTTATTTTTTTAGAAATATTTATTTATTTGAAAGGCAGAATGACACAGGGGAGAGAGAGAGAGAGAGAGAGAGAGAGAGAGAGAGAGAACAAGCTTCAATCTACTTACTCATTCTCTCCAAATGGCCGCAATGGCTGGGGTTGGGCCAGGCAGAAGCCAGGAACCTGGAACTCCATCTGGGGTCCCACAAGGGTGGCAGAGCCCTGAGTACTTGGGCCATCTTCTACTGTTCTCCCAGGCACATTAGCAGTGAGCTGGATTGGCAGTGGAGCAGCCTGGACTTGAACCAGCATTTAGTATGCTGGCATAGCAGGTAGAGTCTTAACTCACTTCACCCCCAGGCCAGCTGGCCCTCTGCACTTATTTTAAAATTGTTCCTTTTCCCCTCTCTCTGCCTAAATTGCAAAGAATCTTTTTCTCTAATCAGGACTTGGAGGGCAGGGGAGTTTTCTAAAGGTGCAGGAAACTGTGGTGCTCTTCATAGGACTGCTGCCCTGGAAATGCTGAACTCTCCCAAGTGCACACTTGGCCTCCAGTAATTCACTGAAATTCTCTTCCATGTTCCTACTGGTTACCAGCTCCTGTGGCTTCTGCTCCAGGTAAGCTCTGCACTGGGAGTCTCTGTCTCCCTTCCCAGATTTGGGGGTGGCAGTTTACCCTGCAACTTCAGTTTTCTGATAGATCTGGAGAAGTTGTTGATTTTCATTTTCCCAGGAGGAGAAGGGGAGTGAGGACGTCCAAGCTCGGCATATGTAGCGGCTAAAACCAGAAGTCCCCTGAACTCTACAGTAATTTTATAATCGTTACTATCTAGATGTTCAATGATTTGGGTTTTGAGATTTTTCTTTCAATCATGTGTGATTCAAGCAAGAATTTTGTCATTTCAAGCAGTTAACACTTGTTCTAATGCTGTTGAAAATGCAAGCTCAGATACTGTGAGTTTTGTTATTTCAATTTTTATTCATTTATTGTGACTTCATTTGTGACCTTAATAATGTATGATTGTACCATGGCTCAAATGGAAAGATTTTGTGTTCTCTAATATCAGAGCAATAAGGTTCATTTTACTAATGCCTGGTGCTAGCCGTTCATCGTTAAAACACTCTATCTACTTTACATCAGGTGCTACAGCATTGCTAGCTTTAATCCTTAAATGCCCCTCATGTAAAATTGGAAATTAGAAATAATTATCTGTAATTATAAGACAATAAAGCAGCTGATGATTTAAATACTCTGTCAAACTCAAAAGGCTCCAAACTGACACTCTGCTGATGGTGAATCAGGCACAATTATCTCTAATATCATGGTTCTGATACTGTTAAAATAATACATCAATTCATCAAATACACACAAATGCACCCACAATCAGTAATCCAAAGTGTGCCTGACTCACAAAGAAATTGCCTCAGATCACCCAGCTGCAACTTTCTGTTCTCTAACTTGGCTTATGATATCCCCAAATCATCCTCATCTGCCTTATTAGCCACCAAATACTTTTCTGAACCCAAGCTGGCTTTCAGACAAGCTATCAAACATGTTTCATAGTCAATTAAGTGATATCCATGTTCTTTTCTGCTTGTTCAACGTTTATTCTCATTAATGTGTCAGACTAGTTAAGAGTTTTGGTTCTCAAAACAGTTCAACGATGCTAACAAAAACTGCTAACAGAATAGCAGGAAAATATGGGAGGACACACCAAGGAATATCTTCAGATTCCAAAAAACAAAAATAAAATGAGATTTTGGCTTCATCAGGATGTATAATGTTTGATAATGACAGACCTGCTCTTAAAATTTGCTTTAAGAAATGCTGGTCTAAAGTCAAAAATATTCAGGGGCCGGTGCTGTGGTGTAGTAGGTTAAGCCTCCCTCTACCTTTGGCACCGGTCATTCAATATGGGTGCTGGTTCGCATCCCAGCTGCTCCTCTTCTGATCCAGCTTCTTGCTAATGGCCTGGGAAAGCTGTGGAAGACGGCCCAAGTGCTTGGGCTCCTGTACCCACGTGGGAGACCTGGAAGAAGTTCCTGGTTCCTGGCTCCTGGCTTCAAATCGGAACATCTCCAGCCGTTGCAACCATTTGGGGAGTAAACCAGCAGATGGAAGACCTGTGTCTCTGTCTCTTCCTCTCTCTCTGTCTAACTCTGCCTCTCAAATAAATAAATAAATCTTTAAAAAATATAGTAAAAAATATTTAATAATACAAGCATGTATGCAATTGAGTACCTATCATACAGTTAGAGGCATAAAGCACGCATACAATTTGTATAATTTCTAATTACAACCAGGAAAATAGGGTGAATGTTTGGCTGAGTAGTGAAGACATTTGAATCCAATATCCTGGTGCCTAAATTCAATCCCCAGTGCTGGCTCCTTACTCCAGGTTCCTACCTAATGGAAACTCTAGGAGGCCACAGTGATGACTCAGATAATTGAGTTCCTAGCTCTCAGATTTGATCTTGGCCCAGTTCTGGCCATCACTAGCAACTGGGGAGTGAACCAGCTAATGGGAGCTCTCTGACTCTCTGCCTCTTAAATAAATAAATACTTGAAGAAAGTAGGGGTGGATATTTGGCCTAGTGGTTACCTTGGATTTTCTCAGTTCTCCTCTCCAGCTCCTGATTCCACCTTCCTGCTCTCGAGGGCAGCAGTAGTGACTCCAGGAACTGGGTTCCTGCCACTGATGTGGGAGTCTGGAACTGAGTTTGGGCGTAGGCCCAGCCCAGGCCATCACAGGCTTTGGGGAGTGAATGAGCAGATGGGAGCCCTGTTTATCTGCCTTTCTCCCTGCCTCTCAAAGAAAGAAAAAAAAATCAGAAAAAATTCAAAATTTATTTTGAGGAAGAAGAGCATAATAAGAATCCTGTTAAGATGATTGAATTGCAAAGTAAGTCAGTTATAAAAGATGTGGATCCTTCACTTTCAGGTAGCGAGAAACAAATGGATACTTCAAAATGTTCATGGAAAAAAATTGAACTAAAACATGAGCTCATTTTGGTGCAAAAAATTTAAAATCCATGCATATGAGGAGCTCTTCAACAAGTTCATGAAAAATGAGCATTATAGATTTTAATTTTTTGCATAAATATAAACTTACCTTTTAATTCCACTTTCTTTGAGCATTTTGAAATCTCATGTGTTAGAATGGACATTTAGAAATATACTTGGGCAGAGCTGGTATTGTGGCACAGAGGGTTGAGCTGTCTAATGTGAAGCTGGCATTCCAGATGAGTGGTTGAAGCCATCTGGGGAGGGATCCATCCAATGGAAGATCTCTATCTCTCTCTCTCCTTCTCCCTCTCTCTCTCTCTCCCTCTCTCTGTAATTCTTCCTTTCAAATAAATAAAATAATTTTAAAAAATACAGTCAGGTTTTATATATATATATGTATATATATATACATATATATGTGTGTATATATATATATATACACAGAGTTACACAGAGAGAGGAGAGGCAGAGACAGAGAGGTCTTCCATCCTCTGGTTCACTCCCCAGATGACTGCAGCAGCTGGAGCTGCACTGATCTAAAGTCAGGAATCAGGAGCTTTCTCTAGGTCTCCCACGCGGGTGCAGGGGTCCAAGGACTTGGGCCATCTTCTACTGCTTTCCCAGGCCATAGCAGAGAGCTGGATCGGAAGTGGAGCAGCCAGGACTCGAACCGGCACCTATACGGGATGCCGGCCCTGCAGGTGTTGACTTTACCCGCTTCGCCAGAGCACCAGTCCTGGGTAATATATATCTAAAACAAAGTTTCTAAGGCCAGATTAGATTTTTTTTCCATTTAATATCAACATTTGAAAAGAAAGACAGTCTAACTGTGTGAGAAATTCTGTTTCGTACAGCATGCTCAGCTTAGCATAAAATTATCTCTGAAAAAACTTCTTGTTTTGAGATACTTTTAGATTTACAGAAGAACTCAAAACTGGTACAGAGGTTTCTGATATGTCCTGCAGCCTGATCTTATGCGTGCATGACCATAGGGTGACTGTCAAGTTAAAATATTCATCTTGGCACGGTGCTATCAACTAAGCTACAGAATTTACTCAGGAAGTTCATTTGACAGTGCACGGGGCTATGGGTGGGGACGAGTGCAGAGGGTCATGTCTCCAATCAGCACGGTTCCCTGCAGCACAATCTTGGCACCCCCAAGTCTCCTGTGCTGTCCTGTGTATCCAACCCCCATCTCTAACCGCTGGCAACCACTGATCTGCTTGTTCTGCCTGTCATTTTGCTCTCCCTGTGATGAATTGCTCACTTACGTGTATGGAAGATAAGCTTACTTTTGTGGAAATCTTCCGAGCTGTTTTCCAAAGTGGCTACACCATTTCACATTCCACCCACTGTTCTGGTATTATTTCTTCCCTCGTTGTAAAATCGCCTTTTTATCAGGCATGTCCCCTGGCACAGTTGCCACTCCTCACTAGCAGAAATTATATTTCTGTATTATAGAACACTCTTTTTTTTTTTTTTTTGACAGGCAGAGTTAGACAGTGAGAGAGAGAGAGAGAGAGAGAGAGAGAGACAGAGAGAAAGGTCTTCCTTCCGTTGGTTCGTCTCCCAAATGGCTGCCACAGCCGGCGCTGCGCCGATCAGAAGCCAGGAGCCAGGTGCTTCTCCTGGTCTCCCATGCGGGTGCAGGGCCCAAGCACTTGGGCCATCCTCCACTGTCCTCCCGGGCCACAGCAGAGAGCTGGCCTGGAAGAGGAGCAACCAGGACAGAATCCAGCGCCCCAACCAGGGTTAGAACCCGGAGTACCGGCACCACAGGCGGAGGATTAGCCTAGTGAACTGCGGCACAGGCCGTTATAGAACACTCTTAACTTCATTAAGCTTATGGTTTACCTGTTATATAAGTCCTAGAGTTTAGTTTCTATTTCTTTTCCAGCTTTATGGATAACTGAAAAACATGGAAGAGAAATACATCATGTTGGAGGTTTGTATAAAGAATTTTACAAAAGGGAATAGCTGGCACTCTGTTTTTTGCTTTCTTTCTTTCTTTTTTTTTTTTTTAAGATTTATTTATTTTATTTGAAAGGCAGAGTTACAGAGAGGCAGAGGCAGAGAGGGAGAAAGAGAGTGAAAGATCTTCCATTCCCTGGTTGACACCCCAAATGGTTACAATGGCTGGAGCTACACTGATCCTAAGCCAGGAGCCAGGAGCTTCTCCCAGGTCTCCCTTGCAGGTGCAGGGGCCTAAGGACTTGGGCCATCTTCCACTGCTTTCCCAGGCCATAGCAGAAAGCTGGATTGGAAGTGGAGCAGCCAGGACTCAAACCGGCACTCAAATGGGATGCCGGCACTGCAGGCAGCAGCTTTACCCCTTTCGCCACCACATCAGCCCCAAACTTTCTGCTTTCTAATGCCCTCCTTGGGGCCACACTGCCCAAGTGAGAGCCTCTCACACGAGGCTGCAGTGGCTGGAGTCCCAGTCCTGGTGCAGGAGTTCCCGAGTATCAGCATATCTTTGAAACCTTCAACTTCCTTATTTCTAATATGGAAATAACTGAGAGCCCCTATCCTGCAAGAAGGTTCTTGTGATTGTTAGAACAGTGCCAGCACTAACTAAGCATGCAACACACATGAACTCTCAGCTGTTTAAAGCATTGCCAAGAAAACAGCCATTTTGATAGCAGGTGAGAGCAAATTGTTTCTCTCTGGGAAAGACTGTCACACTGTACTCTGCTTTTGCTGGGTATTCCCCACATTGAAGCCCAAAGCTACTTTCCATTCTGGCAAGCAGCATGTAACATTTGAAAGTGGAATTTCACTTTCGAATCCAAACTTTCATTTTTTAAAAAATAAAAGTGGAAACTTATATTTTTTTCAAAGATTTATTGATTTATTTAAACAGCAGAGTAACAGAGAGAGAGAGAGAGACAGAGAGAGAGATCTTCCATCTGCTGGTTTACTCCCCAAAGGCCTGCAGCAGCCAGGCCTAGGGCAGGCTGAAGCCAGGAGCCAGAAACACTATCTGGGTCTCCCATACGCATGGCAGGAATCCTAGTACTTAGACCACCACCCTTTGCCTCCCAGGTGCATTAACAGGCAGCTGGATTGGAAACACAGAGTAGCCGGGACTCGAACCAGGCACTCCCATATGGGATGCAGCCGTTCCAAGTAGTGACTTCACTGATTGCACCACAACGCCCACCTAGAAATTTTAATTTAAAATAAAATTACTACAGTGTTTTACTGTTGAAAAACCCAGATTCTGTTCTGATATTTTCCAGAGAGGATACTTTGATCATGTTAGGGTTTGAGCTGAAGCATGTGCCATTCCGTAGATGAGCGTGTGAACTTATAAATGAGATTCTCTCAAAATAAGAAATGAAGTGTGCATGTGCAAACTTCTGTGATTGGCAGGGACTTTCACATGGAGGTAGGATTGGACAGTGTTGAGTCCTCTGCCATCAGCGGGGTAGCAAGCCCCAAAGAGAGGAGGATGCTGGGCCCTTCCAAGGTACCCCGGTGCAGTGCATGGTGAATCGGAGGCATGTCCATGGAGACAGCATGGAATGACCTGGAAGGCAACAGAGGCTGTTGGTGGATGTAGGGGTGACTGAGCCCCAGAGAGGCGACAGCACTGGTAACTCTGTTATCTTGGCATGGTGTGGACTTCCTAAAGAGACAGAGGGACCTTGAGGTGCTGGGAGGGAACGGGAGCCCTTGTGCTGAGCCCAAGGGTGTGATCCGGAAGTGCTGCACAGGACATGGGTGAACGGAGAAGTCCCAGCCAGTGAAAGGTGGGGCAAGTCCAGCTGGCATGGGTCAGCAGCGTGCTGGCAGGAGAGGTGCCCAGGCAGGGAGAGGACTGTGTCTGGCCCTCCTATGAACACCTTGATCATCTGACTGCTCCCTTGGAATCCCCAAGAGATGGGGAGCCCAAGGCACTCACGCATGCTCAGAGTCGGTGCTGCCCCTGTTAGCTGTAGCCTCTGGCTGCCTATCCACATTCAGCCTGGCACACTGTTGGCTCTTATTCAGTTTCCCAGCTCACAGGCCAAGAATCTCAGGACACAAAGCCTAAGTCACTGTCCCAGCTAATATGGCTAAAACCACCTCGGGAGCGTGGGACTCTGGAGATCATGCTATGTTACCACTGTCTTTGTGAATTAAACATCTTTTGAGGGATGGGCATTTAGCATAGCAGTTAAGATACCCACATCCCACATCAGAGTACCTGGGTTCAATACCCGGCTCTGGCTCCGGACTCCAGCTGCCCGGTAATGCGTATTCTGGGAGGCGGTAGCAATGGCTCAAGTAGTTGGGTCCTGACTGCTCACACAGGAGACTGGGGTTGAGTTCCTGGCTCCAGCTCAGCCCAGCCCTGGCTGTTATGGGCACTGGAGACTGAACTAGAGATGGGAAATCTTTTTCTCTGCTTCTCACGTAATAATAACAATAAAAGCTTTCTAGAAAAAATACTTTTTTAGTTTTTACAAGTAGGGAACCCTCCGAATATAAGCATTAAAAGGCCTTCTTTTACTATTAACCTGGGATTCTTGGGCTTAAAGGTCTTCTTTTTAGAGTTTTATTTGTTTGAAAAGCAGAATGACAGAGAAGGGGGAGAGAAAGGGATTTTCCATCTGTTGGTTCACTCCCGGAATGCCAGCAACAGCTGGGGCTGGGCCAGGCCAAAGCTGAGATCCAAGAACTCCATCTGGCTGTCATATGTGGGTGCCAGGGAACCAAGTATCTGGGCCATCACCCACCACCTTCTCAGGTGCATTAGCAGGAAGCTGAATCAGAAGCATAGGAGGGGCCGGCGCTGTGGCATAGTGGGCTTAGCCTCCGCCTGTGGTGCCAGCATCCCATATGGGGCTTGTGTCCCGGCTGCTCCTCTTCCAATCTGGCTCTCTGCTATGGCTTGGGCAAGCAGTACAAGATGGCCCAAGTGCTTGGGCCCCTGCTCCCATGTGGGAGACCCAGAAGAAGGTTCTGCCTCCTGGCTTTGGATTGGCTCAGTTCCAGCCATTGCGGCCATCTGGGAGAGTGAACCAACAGATGGAAGACCTTTCTCTCTGTCTCTCCCTTTCACTGTAACTCTACTTCACAAATAAATACATAAATAAATAAAATCTTCAAAAAAAAGTGTAGGAGCCAGAACAACCCAGAACTCCAATACAGGATATGGGCATTCCAACCAGTGGTTTAACCTGCCAAGCTACAACACCCACCCTGAATCTTCCTTTTAAAAATGTTAAATTGCAAGTTTCTGATGACAAAAACAGCGTAGACTCATAATACAAACTTGGATAGAGGAAAACAAAGAAGCAATCCAAAAAAAAATCACCTGTACCATCCATAATTCTATTTCATTCTTCTTTTAAACCAAATTGTATGGGTACAAATAAATAAGGCAAGAAGCAAAGATTTTCTCCTATCTCAGAGGCAATGCCCGTGGAGAGGCACATCCAGACAGCCCGGCCACTCCTGCTGCTTTCTCTTTGTATTTGCTGGCAAATTCTAAGGGCAGAAGGTGGCTGCCACCCCGCGGGTTCTGCTGAGGGTTCCTTCCTGGCTTATTTACTTAACCTTCTGGTTGGTATCTGCAGTGTGATATTTGATACGTGGACTAGGCTGCTGCTGCTTTATCTCACAGCTGTATCTGCAGGCGGAGCTTTCTGAAGCCAAAGCCTCCTACAATCGCTCTCTTTATTGGGAATGCCTCGGACACCAGGGGGGAGGGAGTACAAAATAAGACACTGTCCTCCAATGTGGAGCCCAAGAGAAAAGGCCTCTTGTGTTGGAATTAGAATAGAAATTGCACCATTTCCTCTCGAAAGGTCTAGCATGAAAAGAAGCCCGACTCAGAGATCAGAACATCAGAGCAGGAGGCTGTGATAACAGCTCAAGGGCCACGTGCATGGGAAAGCAAAGCAGGTGTCTTCCTCCCCACCTCATTCCAATCCCATTCATTGCCATTACCGGCTCAGTGCACCTGTAAGGGGATGACTTCCCCATGGGTGTCAGGGCAGCCCGTGCACACCCCTCACACTCACACCATGAAGGCTTACAAATACCTTCCACATGAGTGGCACGGACCCAAGTCCTTGAGGTAGCACCACTCCCTCCCAGGGTCTGCATCAGCAGAAAGTTGGAATCAGAGGCAGAGTATTGAGCCTAGTTACTCTGACATGAGATGTGAACATCTTAACTGGTATCTTAACTGCCAGGTTAACTGCCTGCCCCACTATCCGGCAATTCTAAACGTGTGTGTATATGCATATGACACATCAATACAATTAATAATTCTTGGCTCATAGTGTATTATTATCTGCACATAGACTTTTTGATTTATCATAGTGTAAGGTATTTTACTTTGTTTTATTGTATGTTTTCTTCTGTTCTCATTTCTAATCTCATCTTCTATTTCCCTCCCTCAAGATGAACTCTTATGCATTAAGGCAGGTAAAACCATTGTATATTTTCTTCCCCCCTCATTCCTGGGTGTTGCTATGATTAAGGGAGCCTGGCTTTTTGCTTCCCATGGTGACATCAACCTATCAGGTGGCCTTCAGGATACACTTAGCTGACAGCATTTGTATGTCTTCCAATGCTTATCTTTTTAAATGCTGGTTTCAGTTGTAAATAACTTATTTTCATGTTGCAGTGCAGCGTGAGTTCTTATTGTGGGATAAATTCTCCAATTTTGGTTCAGAAACATACCCGCCCATAAGTTTTCTCGAAACAGCCAAGACAAGCATTTCCCTTCACCATGCCCCCACGTCTCGGCCCCCTTGGACTCATTTTCCTGATTGTCACTCATTTGAGTCATCTAAAACCTCCTGCGTGATCATGGCGTTCCCCTTTGGCCCCTAGCACTGAGAGCAAACTTCCTTCCAGACAAGGGGGGGTGTGTGTGTATGTGTGTGTGTGTGTGTGAGATCTCACTCCCATGGGGCCTCCAGCCTGCTGCCTTTGTGGTTCAGCCTTGCATTCCAGACACTCTGTGTCACTTTACACCCAGTGCTGCAGCAAGTGGGCATAGAGAACTGGCGTTGAGTGAATGTGTGGATGTGTGTGTTTAGTTTCCTGCGTGCTGTCACCTGGGCTCCAGCAAACAGCACCTCCTGGCCTCTCCTCACTCTCCTTCCTACCTAATTCTCTCCTAGCCTTCAGTTCCTTGTCCCACCTATGATGGATGGGCTGACCACACACAGGCAAAGGGGTGTGTGTCACATGTGGATAGTGGACCATACATTTCTGTGGGACACCATGGCTGTACTTATCAACCCTAGTGCTGGAAGTGCAGATGTCCAAGGGTTGACGAGGATGTCCATTTTCCAACATTGTGCGGCAAATGAAGCCCTAGCTCCTCCTCCTTCTCAGTGGAGACACTTGGAGATCAGGGCGAAAGATTTTGCCCCTGGTGCCATTCGCCCAGGTGGCTCATACAGAGGTGCACTTGGCTAACACCGAGACCTTGGAATCCACCCAGGAGTCAGCGGCGCTGGGTGCCTTTGGTGCACTCATTACTTTGTAACGAGTGAGTTCTGAGTCCAGCTGGTAGGAGACATAGGTTGAAGCACAGCTTTCTCATGGAGATTAGTGGTAAATGATATTTTCTTCAGGTACTTGATGAAATTAATCATCTTTGCCTTTACCAGTGAAGAGACACCAAGAGGTGCCCTGGAAAAGGCTCATCCATCCATCCTTCCAGAGAAGAGAGCATGACACAGAGAGGAGTATGTGCTGAGGCTCGGCCGCGGGGCTGCCTGCATGCTGTCTGGTGGGACTGACTCTTCTGAGGGAGGGATGAGGACAGGAGCCTGCAGGACCGGGAGAAGGGGACAGGTGCAGGGGATCAGGACATGTCTACCAGGAGTGTCCCTCGAGGGACTAAGCAGAGAGCCACGGCCCCGCCCGTGTGGAACAACAGAGAGAGTTTGGTGAGGAAATGAGTAACCTTCGCCCATCACCTTCTCAACGTCCTCCCCTTCCTATCTCTAACTCTGGGAATCTTCAGGATCTACAAGGTGCCTCCCCTGTCTCTTAGGGACAGTGTGACTCACAGGGCCCTTGGAAGCCAAAGTGTATGGATCTGAAAAAAAGGAAGTGAGATCATACCCTGTTTTGGAAGGAGCACAACTTTGAAATTGTTTTTGAAAAAGGTTTGTTTATTGTATTTGAAAGGCACAGAGAGCTGGCACCGCGGCTCATTAGGCTAATCCTCCGCCTTGCGGCGCCAGCACACCGGGTTCTAGTCCCGGTTGGGGCGCCGGATTCTGTCCCGGTTGCCCCTCTTCCAGGCCAGCTCTCTGCTGTGGCCAGGGAGTGCAGTGGAGGATGGCCCAAGTACTTGGTCCCTGCACCCCATGGGAGACCAGGAGAAGCACCTGGCTCCTGCCATCGGATCAGCGCGCTGGCCACGGCGGCCATTGGAGGGTGAACCAACGGCAAAGGAAGACCTTTCTCTCTGTCTCTCTCTCTCACTGTCCACTCTGTCAAAAAAATAAAAAAAATTTAAGAAAGGCACAGAGAAAGAGGCAGGGAGAGACACACAGAGACAGATCTTTCATCTGTTGGTTCACTCCAAATGACCGCAACAGCTGGAGCTGTGCTGATCCAAAGCCAGGAGCCAGGAGCTACTTCTGGGTCTCCTATGCAGGTGCAGGGGCACAAGCACTTGAACCATCTTCTTCTGCTTCTTTCCCAGGCCATTATCAGGGTGCTGGATTGCAAGTGGAGCAGCCAGAACTCAAACTGGCTACAGAGGATGCTGGCACCACAGGACTGGCCCCTGAAAGTTTTAACTGCTTTTTTTTTTTTTTTTTTTGAGAGTTTGGTTAGAATTGGTGGGCCTTCTTTCATGGTCTTTTATTTTTTTATTTTTATTTTTTGACAGGCAGAGTGGACAGTGAGAGAGAGAGACAGAGAGAAAGGTCTTCCTTTGCAGTTGGTTCACCCTCCAATGGCCGCCGTGGCCAGCGCGCTGATCCGATGGCAGGAGCCAGGTGCTTCTCCTGGTCTCCCATGGGGTGCAGGGACCAAGTACTTGGGCCATCCTCCACTGCACTCCCTGGCCACAGCAGAGAGCTGGCCTGGAAGAGGGGCAACCGGGACAGAATCCGGCGCCCCGACCGGGACTAGAACCCGGTGTGCCTGCGCCACAAGGTGGAGGATTAGCCTAGTGAGCTGTGGCGCCAGCCTCATGGTCTTCTAAAAAGCTTTGGCCTTCCTGTTGTGGACCAGACAGGAGGGACCTGGAACTCCAGCCTGCACAGGGATAGCCTCACTGGTCCACTCCACCCCATCCCCACAGGGGATCTATAGACACCCTCTGTGGGATCAAAATGAAAAGGCTACCTTCAAAATTATGTTAGGAGTTAATTAGAAACAATCTAATTGTCCAAAAACAGAGCAACTGTTAAGTTATAGAAATGCACACTTTATACGGTTTTTTAAAAAATTATTTATTTATTTGAAAGGCAGAGCTACAGAGAGCAGAGGCAGAGAGACAGAGGTCTTCTATCCACTGGGTCACTCCCCAAATGGCTGCAACATTGGGAGCTGCGCCAATCCAAAGCCAGGATCCAGGAGCTTCTTTCGGGTCTCCCATGTGGGCACAGGGACCCAAGGACTTGGGTCATCTTCCACTGCTTTCCCAGGCCTTAGCAGAGAGCTGGATCAGAAGTGGAGCAGCGGGACCTGAACCCGTGCAGGCAGCAGGTTTACCACCATGCCACAGCACCGGCCCCTTTATACCTGTTTGACAAAATGAAATAGGAGGATTGCATGATATTTCTAGAGTCTTTTAAAAAAGAAAGATGCATAACAATACATAGGATATAAGCCCGTGAAGAACTCTCTGTATGACTATTTATCAAATATTTATGTACATCTATAGAGAAACAACAGAAGAATGCTTAACAACTACTTTTTTTTTTTTTTTTTGACAGGCAGAGTGGATAGTGAGAGAGAGAGACAGAGAGAAAGGTCTTCCTTTGCCGTTGGTTCACCCTCCAATGGCCGCTGCGGCAGGCGCACCGCGCTGATCCGAAGGCAGGAGCCAGGTACTTCTCCTGGTCTCCCATGGGGTGCAGGGCCCAAGCACCTGGGCCATCCTCCACTGCACTCGTGGGCCACAGCAGAGAGCTGGCCTGGAAGAGGGGCAACCGGGACAGAATCCAGCACCCCGACTGGGACTAGAACTTGGAGTGCCGGCGCCGCAGACGGAGGAGCAACTACTGTTCTTGAAGGAAGCTTTTCCTCACTGCACCAGGATTTGGTGCCTCCTTTCTCTTCCACTGGAATGCCCCTTCATTGTACTTCTCTATCTCAGTCATAGCACTTACTGTACTATATTACAGATTGGTTTCCATTTCCACTTTGCACATGAGACCCTGAGCGCTCTGAAGGCAGGAACCACATCATACTCATCATTGTATCCCTGGTGTCTAGCCCGGTGCTGAGAATTGCACAGGAGTCAACATCTATCAGGTGAAATCACCTTCATTATGGTCTGATGCAGCTCATGCTTCGTAGTTATCTTTCACTTGGAGACTTTTAGGTCACAGGACCAACTTTCAGAAGAATACTTTATCTGGCAAGAATGGACTGAAAGTATTTTTAGAACACTGACTGGTTGCCCAGATCATCCTGTTTCTGCCCTGGTGTGCCCATGTGATGCTCACTCTACATGGAGGAGCTGGACAGAGCAGAGCTATCCATTAGAGTGTGAGGGTCAAGCCTCCCCTCTCAGCCAAGCATCTCACCATGTGGAAGACACTGGTGGAGTTGACCTTCACTTAGACTTTGCTCCACGAGTGTGCTCCCATTAGAGCAAGTGTTCCACCATTTAACAAAAATTGCAATCTTGAATAAATATATCCTAAGTAATTAAAAACGAGTATAGGAATTTAAGAATCCAATAAGGAAAAAAATTAAAAATTTGTTAATCAAGGCTCTCAAGAAAAAAATTTAAAAAGATGGGCATTGGCACTGTGGTGTAGAGGGTTAAGTCATGGCCTGCAGCACTGGCATGCCATATGGGTGCTCCACTTCTGACCCAGCTCTTTGCTAACGCACCTGGGAAGGCAGTGGAGGATGGCCCAAGTGTTTGGGCCCCTGCACCTGCGTGGGAGACCAGAAAGAAGCTCCTGGCTCCTGGCTTCAGCCTGCCACAGCCGTAGTTGTTGTGGCCATTTGAGGAGTGGAAGATCTTTCTCTCTGTAACTCTACCTTTCAAATAAAGAAAGAAAGAAAGAAAGAAAGAAATAGATTGAACCCATTTCATTTTTTAATTAAAAAGATAATGCCACCTAATGATAATCAGAGTCCACTTTGATGAAGACCTGCGTGTTGGTCTTTCCTCCGTCATCTGATTTGTGTAATATGGAGAAGTCACCTCGCCTTTCTTTCACTTGCTTCTGTTTCTAAACTGTGAAATCCTAGATTAACAAAGGTGCTACATGTGAAACACACTCTTTGAGTGCTTTTCTATCTTACATTACGTGAATTACACTCTGCCAAAAGCCAGTGAAATGTCATTGATGGGACCTAAAAGCATGTGAAGCAATTTGGCTAATGGGTAGAAGGAAGTGAGTGAGTAAGTATTAAATGATGGGCTAATAGAGGCAAAGAAGAAAGTGAACATACAGTGATTCACAGACAAAGAGGGTTGTTCAGGGTTAGTTTCTGCCACAGCTATCATGGATCTAATGCTTTACATTGTGCAATTTTTCTAAAACCTCAATTGTTCTTTTTTGGAAATATTTCCTGATCTCCTGGCTGCACTGTTCTTTCTTTGGTTTTAGTTTTACTGTTTCGCATTATGTCACCTCCAACAGGCAAAATAAGGACTCGCCTTTCTCGAGGTTAACACCTTTCAAATATTTGTATACTCTTATCGAGTACCCAGGTATTCTCTCTCCACCGTTACCTGGCCTACACTGCCAGGTCTTTTGATCTTAATGCACAAGCCCCTCCTTTGATCATTTTGGTGCCTTGCTCTGGGCCCTCTCAATGATATCAGCTTAACTTGTGTTAACAGATACTGCTCTGAGCATTCCGGCTATGGCATTTGGAGAAGCAGGCTGCAGAGAGAATACATATTCCTCTACTGTTCTGTGGTGATAAGCCCTGAAGTGTCTGACCCAACTCAAGACTTTCTTTTTGATTATAACTAAAGCTATTTCAAGCTTGCAATTACGTAATTCACCTTTCAAGTTCTTCCTGGCCGCGATGCAATGTGGGGGTATTCCTTGTGACATAAGAGAAAAAGCCTTGCCACTTCTGCTGCTGATGAGTTTGTTCTGATTTGCTTTGCTGGAGCTGGCCAAGGGTTTCCAGGGAAACAGGTCAGTGTTAAAACATGAGTGTTAAGGACTGAATGCTTGAGTCCCCCCGATCCACATGTCGAAGCCCCAAGGTGATGGCACTTGGAGATGGGGCTTTTCAGTGAAGTCATCGGTGTTCATTGTCATGATGGGATTCGTGGTCTTGCAAGGAGAGACCCCACAGAACTTCCTCACACTCTCCCTGTGAGAGTTGGCAATATGGCACACGCTTACAAGGCAAGAACCAGATCTTCTGGCACATCGGTGTGAGACTCTCCAGACTCCAGAACTGGGAGAAATCAGTGCCCCTGTTATTTTTATTTAAGTCCCCCCCCCCCAGTTTATGGTATTCTGTTATTGTGTAAAGAGAGGATACATTGACCTAAATTGTCATAAAGACGTAACTACACTAATTCTACATAGAAGTCCTAAAATAATCTTTAATTTGAGTGAGTTAGAAGAGGAGACCTAGAGAAGGAGCAAGAGCTGGAGCGGGGGGGTTGTGATAAAATGAGTGGGAAAACTAAAGATAAAGGCTCTGTGTTTTATAATTTGGCTCAGGGGCAGCCCTGTGTCTCTGGCTCCTTCAGAGACTGGGTTCATGTCGTGTATTAGCTGGTAGCCACTCTTTTTTTTAAGACTTATTTTATTTATTTAAAAGATAGAATTACAGAGAGAGGTAGAGACAGACAGAGAGAGAGAGGTCTTCCATTTTCTGGTTCACTCACCACTTGGCTGCAATGGCCAGAGCTGCACCAATCCCAAGCCAGGAGCCAGGAACTTCTTCTGGGTCTCCCACTTGGGTGCAGGGGCCCAAGGACTTGGGCCATCTTCTACTGCTTTCCCAGGCCACAGCAGAGAGCTGGATTGGAATTGGAGCCGCCAGGACTCAAACCAGCACCCATATAGGATGCTGGCCTAAGGCTTTAACCCGCTGGATCATAGCACCGGCCCATGCTGGTAGCCATCCTTAACAGCTCACATGGGTGTGGCACAGCAGGTGGACAACAGAAAGGACAATAATGATTTTCTCTTGGGAATGATCTGTTTCCCAGATTGGATCTATTTGGTTCTGTTGGATAAACATTTCTTCTTTTTTCTAAGATATGCCTTGTCTTACAATGCTACCTCTATGTTTCTCCTCTATAAATTCTTCTGTGTTATTCTCCAAATCTATTTGTTTTTTATGAGGTTTCTCAACTTCATGAGAAAATTACACTTGCTATCTAGTCCTGGTTTTCATTATTCAGAAAAGACAGGTTGGTGATTGTTCATAAGTGGGCTCACTGAACTTAGTGTGAATTGATGCCTAGGGTATTATTCATACTTAGGTAATTATCTTCTCCAAGACCAAATTTCATATTCCCTGGAGCTCAGCTTTTTGCATCACAAGCAGCAACACAGCACAGGATCTAATTGCCTTGAAAAAGGTTCAAGGGAAAGCAAAGATCTCTAAGGAATTTTTACCTAGACAATGGAGGTTTGTAGATTAAATCAACCCC